CGATGTTTACAACCGCGAAGAAACTTGGCCGACGTACACGTCGGAGAATCACACTTTAGGAACTACGGGGGAGAAGTTGCGCGGCAATTCCGACGACCATACTGAACCGTTTCAAACGGGCCTTGACGACCCCTGATCTTATAATTAACCCATTTTGCTTTGAAGCTTTAATATTCAGTTTCGAGACGAAAATCCAGCGATTGCAACCCCAACACAGGAGCCTCAGTGTTGCTAGACAGACGCATGCATTACCAATCACGGGCACGAAATCAGACTTCATAATTCCGGATAGAGTGAAACGTTATTGCATTGTGTCCAAAATTGTTACGTTGAGTGAGCAATAATTTCAGTTTTTCTGGTTTATGACATAGGACAGTTTAAGGTATTTTACAATTAACATCAGTCTAATAAGACATATTATCAATATTTTACTCATAACTTGTACCGAAAAAAGTATCGCATTAATAATATAGATACCTACTTATATCGAAGAAATGAATACAAAGTTCTTTTTTATTAATATAATACATTTTAACCAGAGTTGAGCAGAATTTTATTCGAACAATTAAACAGTTTATGAGATTAAATAATTGTTTGCCAAATTGTCGACTCAATCAGGAAGAAGTATTATTTTGTTATAAAAATTGAAATTTCTACGTTTTAAAAACGATTAAAAATGACGAAGTACTTTTTAACCTTTTATTCGTTATTTAAAACTCTATATCTAAATAATAAATTTGCCCGTCTCTGATTTCAACGAAGATTTATTTTATTTAATGAACATTTATTAACGAATTAATATGACTAGACAACAACCACCTTCACATTCAGTAGCTTTCATATCGATTACTCGCTGCATTCGATACGAGTACATATACATATATCGCAACCGATAGCATTGATACTAAAAATACTCGGTACCGAAATGGAAGAATCAATTATTTAATTGTGTTTACTTGGATCGGTTCATCCCTACCCATTCCTAGAATGCGGATTTTTATGCAAAATAACATTTTATAGAATAGTTCATAAAGACAAGAACAAAAGTAGGAATTTTTTTCTTCTCTTAAGTATCTCGGTAGATTCAGAATAAAATAAAAAACTCGTTGCTTCTGATGAAAGTTTTGTCTGTTATTGGATTTCACAAAGCCTTATAGGCTATAAATCCATAAAATCCGCAGACTACTCATCGGCATTAAAGTTGATAATTGATATTCAGTTTACCTGAAATTATTACCGTTAATATTTAATTATTATTTCGTAAATTTTTAGTAGGAATAACGGAACACAGTATACATTACAAAATACACTACCGCGTGTATTTGCCTTCCCATCGAAGAAAAGTTTACTTGTTTCCATTTTACAGTCCACTATGACAACTTTCAATAAATTGTCATAAACTAAGCTTACTTCATAGCATTTATTGTAAAGAAAACTAATTCTTTTGTAAAAGATTCAGTTTTTAGTTAAGTGAATTTAGTATGGATGGGAAAATACATATTCGTCATAGTGTATGTATATTCAGTTTTGGTACATTGATTTCATTAAAAATTGTCAATAAAAAATTGGTGTTACTTAACCCAAATAGCACTAAAACGTCATATATACGTCCGGAGAACGTACGTTCCCGGAATACAACTTTAACATGTGAATAAACCAGCCTTTTGATACTTTTAGTACAAGATTTATACCACTAGTTTAAGCACTCGAAACACTATATCGAGTCCTCCAAAGAAGGATTTGCATACAATTTAACAAAGCACTAACGCAAGATTGTCATTCTTTCATATCGTGCATTGCAGATAATAAAGGATTCTCTACCAAACTAAATGCATAAATTATAAAGCGAATGAATTATCCTAGAAAGATAACAAGTTTATTATCTTATCCCCGCCATCTTACCCCGTGTGGTTTATGTGGATAAATAATATCAAAATTAAATTGAGACAGCAAATTCATTTTAAATTACTATGTGATACTCAATTCTGCACTTTTACAAACGCCAAAATTTACCTTTATTTAAGCTCATATTCACTAATTTACGATGTCAAACTGTTATAAGCCACACGCATGAAATTGTGATTACGTTCTAACTTTCTACTGCATCATCTAATGTCTATTTTATCATACTATACTATATTGCCGACTGATATGCAAGGATAGCATAACAAAAAAAATAGGCATGTACCAGCAATAGAAGCGAAAATAACATCCGCCATCTTACCCGATCTCTCCTAATTAATTTCTTCGGTGAAAATTTAATTTAAAAAATCGTCACTCTCTTTTAGTTACAAAATGACGTTAAATTTTCGCCTAAAATGTAATCACTGCCGTCATGGGCGTAGCCAGGTTTTCAGTCAGGATGGGCCCAAAATATTAACACGTCGACTGCCACAGTGAAAAAAGCCGTACGTGGCCAGACACGCTTTATTAAGTTTTTAAAGTCATAAATCGTCGAAAATGTTTGTCGAAATCATTTTATTAATAGAGGCTGTTGGTCGTGTTTCAAATTATACTGCAATATTAAATGTTACGCAAAAATTTTATAACTGGGATGTAGGTGGTGGGGGTAAAATCCAATTTTTTTCTTGTAGCGTGGAGCAAGGACAATTTTTTTCCGTCTTGGAGGAAAACTACGCTCATGAATACCATTTCAAATGACACGTGATACACAAATTTCCGGTGTTAGTATACTGGTTTCCCCAGAGGATATCAATCAATCAGGTGGACGATATCACGCTCGAAAAACTTTATTCATTTAAACAGATTAGCAACGAAAGCGCCCGTTAATGTTTACCTCGAAATATTAAATTACGCGATTATAATTTATATGGTTAAGTAACGGGCGTATCAGTCAGTTTGATCGTGTATCGCATTCAGATCACCGGGCGAAGTGTATGTATATTCATTGGCAAATTGAGGTAGGTAGTCGCTCACGCGTTCGGTTTGCGAATGTCTAGTTAATAATACGTAAGCAATTACGGACCTGTTGTTTATTAATGCCCATCGTGTTACACTGTGGCGATTATGACGGTGATGCTTTATATTTCGGACGTGTGGCTGTTCATTAGGGAACGTCAATATTTATTAAGCGTACCAGGTGGATAACAACGCCGCGCTGGCAGTCACAAACATCACGAAGTAATCGGATAATGTCTAAATAGAGCTAATAAGAGTCCACGGAATACAATGATTGGTGGTCCATTGATCTGCCAGAAGCCTTCTGAAGATACGATCGATATCACAGGTACGGAAAATGAAATTCAAAACAGAGACGCAATTTTCTGAATCAATTTCATTGACGCCTTTTATTTTCATGCAACATGGTGAATATGCCTCAAGCAAATCAGAATCACTTGTAAATATTGTGAAACAATAATTCAACTGTGAAATTGTGTAATATTATCTTCAGAGCTTGTTTAGGACAATTGAATGATTCTGGCAATAATTTACAAAGAAATTTAGAACATGCGTCACTAACTAAAGAAGAATTCGTGGAAGAGGTCACACGATGATTTGTGTGTAATCGAGAAATATTTTAAAAATTCAGTGTTAAGTTGCAACGGTTTCGTCGAATGGTTATATATATATATATACGATTGAAACTATTACTAACTAGAAATTAGATGTTCTATTCTATAATTTAATGCTGTCGGTCATCGGTAGATTTAATAATAGAGCACTGATTATTTATCCCTCATTTCCGTTAAAGTAAATATTGAATTTGGTAAAGACTAATATATTACTCACTAGGGCACATAACCTTATAAATTCATTGACACTGTACACTTTCATAAAAAATATCCTTCCCTATCGTCTTTGTTACCTTCACTCAAAAGCATTAAAACGAAAAACTACATCAGCCTTTTGTTTCCAGTAAGTACAAAAAGTGTTAAAATATGGCAAATTATTCGTAACCATAACAGTAGATTATCTGATACCAAGTATAAAAAAAAAGTAAGTATATTTGAGGGAGTAGTCCCACTCGGGGGCGTCATTTTTGTCATTTTCCGTACATATTTGTTCATATTTCAAAAAAGCACAGTAAATTTTTTTTTCACTTATCTTTTATATTAACAATATTATGACATGTTTTTTGCAGTGTATCGCTGTGGATGGCTGCCACGATTCACGTTGTATTCATCGGGAAAAAAATCAAAGATGAAAAATCTATTAAATTTGCAACTTGTTCAAGCGTTAAAAAGAACCATTGCAGATATTAAAATAATGGTAGTTCCCATAATAGAGAGACGTCTATTTTATATATATGTCAAAGCTGAAGTCGATTGATTAACTCATTATTGAAGTATCGTGGCAGCCAATTTGGAAAACATGGTTTCGAGGAAAACGCATTTACTCGTGAACCGGTACACCGTTCTCCGATGTATGGTTTTCTTAAAACCGTTGTAACTTCGTCATTTCAATGAATTGAAGCATATCACTGTGGGAGCAAAGTTTCAAGGCTGTTATACTTTAAGAAAATACAGTAAAGAAAATCGATTTTTTGACCCCTCCCTTAACGAAAATCTTATAGGAAAACGCGGGACGTGAGAAAAGCGTATCCCAAAATGAAACAAACAATATTCCATAATTAAAGTTTAATATCCTGTTAAACAATATCAAAATAATTCCATTTAATTCCAAAATTAATCACTCCTGGTGTTCCCGAGGGGTTTGAAACACTCCAGCCACGCTTATTGTTTCACATCAAAAGCTCTTTGAGCGACTTTTCATTAGACAAGTGAAGGCAAAGGGTAAAGGTGACTTGTACCGACGATTCGAAGTTACGGACTTCCTTCTTTCCGCAATTAAATACTCGGAATAGGTGGTATTTAATTAACGGGTTCGCGGAATGTCATATTTATTCGGTGAAACGCGGCAGGACGGTGGCCACACCTTGATGAGAGGGGAGAAAGGCTGCCTTTGCTCTGGCCAAAGTTTATTCACACCGGCAAGAAGATTTAGGGGGACATTAACGCAGCATTGTTTCACTGTTTCAGACTTTGGCATAACTACCGGCCGGCAGGAGGCGCAATATCCCTGCGCCTTTGTTTATAACAGCAACGAGACAAGGAACGGAACATTCGCGTCGCCGAATTACCCGGGCTTGTATCCACGTGACACCGAATGCCACTATTTCTTTAATGGCCAGCCGAATGAACGGGTCCACCTTCACTTCCATTTCTTCGACATCGAGGGAGTGCTGCCGTAAGTGTGAATTCTTTAATGTTTCGTTTGAACCGTTGGAAACATTAGTGGTGTACGTCAATAAATATGCCCTTGAGATATTTAGAGGTTTAAAACAAATCTTGTAAAACCCTTCCTAAATTCCTATACTCATACTGCACCCCCGTGAGAAAAGTACCATAAACATTTTCAATTTCATTTTATTGTGGAAAATAGTTTTTATTAATTTTTTTATGACCAAACGCAGGTAGACAACGGTCGCAGTAATTGTTGTATCTTGAACCATCAATACGGTTGACAAACCATCATAAACGAGAACTCCTAGACAGGTGCACATCAAGTGTAAAATACTCACTGTCCTCAAAATAGTTATTTATTATCGCTGAGCTTCAGGAATGCTGGAAAACCATACACACGCCAAGCCCAACTAACTTTTTGTACCTCATACTATCGTACACACACGCACACAACATGCAGACTTATCCGCGCCAACAAGTGACTACAGATACAAACATCAGACAGAAAACATTCAGCAGTCAAAGAAAACACATCTATCATTCAGACCAAACATAATTAGTTCACACATACGTATACATCACATTTGTTACATTTATTGAAGCTTGAATGTGCTACCGAGTGGTAGCAAATTATTCAAAATCACATCCACTCTGCCTTATGATATTAATTTATCAACGAACAGTAGCAAATCGCAAGCATAATGCGAGCGTCGCAACAAATTGCAATAAGTTGAAGCCCAATACTTCCAGCAAGATGGCATTAGCGTTACTTTGTTTAATATATGAAATGCTACGTAATGAATTAGTTTCTTTTCGCTCTCCTGAAAAATTACGTGTTTTCGACTTGTGACACTTTCCTTGCAGGGATGCAATATGAGTAAATCTGGATATACTGATTATATTGAGCATGAAAACATTATAATTAAGTGAATATTATGAGTATATGTCCTGAATATGCTGTGCGTATTCGGATATACTGATATACTCATCACCCTTTGTTGTGTTATATTAGTGAAGCTTGACGTACACCACTTATGCACAACACAGAATGAAGTTAGGGCTATCTTCCTGTGAGAACGAAAATTCCAAAATTTCCTTGAATTATTAATGCTTTCAACAACTAATTTTGTACAGGATCCAGTAGTATTAACAAGACAAACGCATATGAGCTGATCGCTCGTACAAAAACAAAGCAGGAACTATGTTGTAAACTTGGTGTTAAGAGACATCAGATCGATAGTAAACAAATAATTCTATAATTTCGTTATGGTTTATGAAAAGTGGAAGTAGTCAGCGATGATCAGACACCTTGATTAAAAATTAGTTTTCTCAAAACCAAACTCTGTGCATACAAAATAACTTACTTTATTGTAAAACTTTATTTATTTCCGAGTTGTTTCTATGTGGACACTGTTAAAGTGTTTGTTCATTCCATGACATTTCCACTAACTGTCAGAACGAGAATGTATATATTCACATAATATATGGTCTCCTTTTTCTTAAACTGTGACTAATAAATATCAATTTCTTACGTGTTACACTCTTTGAATGGAATGATCAAATGCAGAAAAATAATATTAGTAAAATCAATTTATCGGATGTATCAGTGCGTAACATTATAATAAAACGTCAAAAAATTAAGTTTTCTTGAGTATAACAGAACCTCTAACAAAAGAATAAGGTTCTCCTTGATTTTCTTTCTGATAATTTTTCCACTACATTTTCCACCAATTTTGCTGTCTAAAGTTAGGCACACCCTGATTTTCGTAACATAGATAAGAATAGTATATTGAACATGGGCGTAGTCAAGGGAGGGAAAGGGGGCACTTCCCCCCCCCCCTGGACGGAAAAAAGTGGTTTTTGCCCCACCCTACAAGAAAAAAATTGGATTTTGACCCCCCCCCCTCTCTTTCCAGAATTATACAATTTTTGCGTAATATTTAATATTGCAGTATAATTTGAAATGCGACCAACAGCCTCTATTAACAAAACGCATACATTTTCAACGATTTATGACTTTAAAAATAAAATAAAGTGTGTCTGGCTACGTACAGCCTTTTTCCCTGTGGCAGTCGATGTATTTATATTTTTGCCCCCCCCCCCCGTCTGATAACCTGGCTATACCCATGATATTGAATAATTAATAAATCAAGTAAACAATATAGGAGGTATAATACTTCATTTTAAAGCTTTAGATTTTATTTTTAACCACGTTGTCGCACTCAGAAATAATTAGTAACAGTATCAAATATATTTATAAACTTTATCTGTAGAAAGCCTACTATATTAAATCTAGATATTTCCTCAATTCGTTTCACACTCGCTACAAAAAAGATATACTTCTGCGTGAGGGGAAGTGGGAGAAGCAATAATATTGAAAATTTAATAAAGAGGGAACTTCCAAACAATATAAAAGTGCAAAGGAAAGTACGTATCGAACGTTCAAGCCGAGATAAACCTACAACTCTATCGTGGCTGGAATTCCACGTATCAATCGAACTCGGTTACCTTTTCGTCACTCAACAAGACGAGGTGAGACAAAGTGAGCATCCTTAGTCGACTAGGAGTCTACTGAAGTGGAATCGATACTAGTTCGATTGGTTTCCTGATACAGTTCGACGTCCCACTAAATCAAACTGCGTCAGGCAAAGTTTCGAGCTGCTCGTTCGAGGACGAAGACGTCCAATGGTGTCCAGTAATTGATAGACCGAAAGTCCATCAAAATGTGTTTACGGAACGCTGAGCTGATCGACGAATAGAGCTGATTAACAGGGGTATTAATTACCGCAGAAAACCGGAACGTAATCCAAGCATATACGGCACTGGGGACGAGCGGAATCGAAATACTATTACAAGAAAAAAAGAAAGGAATGACCTGGCCACGTAACGACCTAATTGGATCGCGTTAAATCACCATCAATAACCAGTTTTAACGGGCCGCTTCGTTCATTACTGGGGAACCGCTAATTAGTCGTGTTTTGCCAATTTCTGTCGAACTTTTAAACAATCGCGCCCGGAGGAAACACGAAGTAGGTCTCATGACTTCATCGATCCGGCTTGCCTGAAATTCGGCCTATATTTAATATTTGGAAGTCGGTCAAAGTTTCTACGAGAATCGTCTTGGAATTTAAGCGAGAAAATTGTCACGTGAATTTAGGTTCTGGCAGTGTAATTCCTTGGCTTTAATCATAAGTAAACTTCAGATTTTAAGCATTTATGGAATGTACAATCGAATAATAATATATGCTTTTAAGATATATCGATACATTTTTTATTTAATTTTTCAATAAATATGATACATTTCTGATTATATTCAGACTTTATGAAAGAAAATAAAAATATATCAGTTTGCATAATCTCTAGAATTTAGACATAAATAACATGCGTTTCTTATTCGAGTTTGTTTTGGTGTTAGAGACAAACAGTAATTGACTTTCACTTTATACATCCATTGTTAATTTTAATACACCTATGTTTTAAGTATCATTCATTTAATTAACATTCACTGTTATTATTGTAATATTCACTGTTATAATTGTAAATTGTTAAAATCGTCTAAATATCCGTTATTCCACTGGGCATAGAAGAGTATCACATGACATTTAAAAAGAATAGAGACAACCTCAAAATCTCCGAAAAAAAACACTCCACCTACTAGAAAATTATTACTGGTATGTTATAATCCCCTTAATACCGTATAACTTTTATAAATACATAAAGTTCCTACATTCCTCTAAAACTACATAACGGTGATATTCTGGGTGGTTAAACTGATTGGTCCACCCTGTATAACATAACGACTGCTGACTTGCATTCAGGCCAAAAGCAGCTACTTTCAGCGTTTCCTATAAGGCAAGTAGCTGTACGTGTATTACAGCAATACACAAAATGACTACTAACTGGAAATAACCTTTTTTTTCATAGTTTGTGTGTTTTCCTTAACCTTTAACACTAGAACTACCAAACAAGTCAAAATGACTTGTCAATACTCTCGTATAACGATGATGAAAATGTTATACCAATACATTTTCTAAGATTTTTGGAACTTTTATTACAATATGAAAATCACGAAATTAATTAATTCATAAGTTTGTAAATTTTCAACATTTTGCCATGTTTATCGATCGATCAAATTAGACATGCGATTATCATCGGTAGTTCTAGTGTTAACTACAGACGACTCGTCTGAGAGATGAATTTTTAGAAATTTTAAGACAAGAATCTTAAACAGAGAAAATTGGACGAGTACTTTGTAACACTTTTAATAACCAACTGAATGTTATTTTTCGTTACCCGTTTGGAAATAGTGTGCCATTTACTGTCGTTTTATATTATTCAAACACTAGAGCTTATCACATTCTTCACTAAATTACGCTAGTGACGGAAAAATTGAAATCCGTCTCTGAGACGAGTGGTCTATAGTTAAGCGTTAATATTTATGTATGTTATAATTTAATGTAGGAATACCAGTGTCTTAAGGTACTGGAGGGTTTCGCCAGCTTTTTGTTCCTACGAGAGACAACCGTAAACAATGCGATTCGAAATGAAAGTTCAATTAGACGGAGTGCACGATGCTAGGACGCGACGTTTCGCTAGATCATTGGGTTTCCATTTCGGAACAAGGAAGATACATTCCCAACCGTAAATCCGAGCTCGAGTAAACAGTCGAAAATATATGTTCTGAAACGAGACGGCCGAATGATGATCTATCACAGGAATTGCCACTTATGTCATCGGTACAAGGAGCTGCTCGCGATATAAATCTCCCCTCTCGTGATAATAGCGCCATCACTCACGTATCAATATTTCTTACGGCCGCGATATATTATTTGCAGGAGTGAATGCATTCTTGGACGCGCGAAGGCCAGTATAAATTGTCGTTAACAGTACCATTTATTTTCCGTGCCACCGTTTTGCTTTTGCCTTTAATTACAGATCATTGAAATTCCAAAGCGGTTAGTAATGTCTTCTAGCTAGGGATAAATACTGCAGACCGAATTGATG